AAAGAAACACCAAACACGATTCAAATCAGGGACCATACTGTACTGATGACACCCCAAAGACCAGCCAGATTGATCCAGCTTAGAGAAAGTAACTTAGTTACAAAAGGTGAATTTGTGAGGGGCTGGAAAGATGGCTCAGTCAGTATCTTGTCAGTCAGTATCTTGTCTGTCAGTATCTTGTCTGTCCCAGGAGCCTGAGGACCCTAGTTGCATCCCCAATGCCCATGTAAAAGCTGGAACACACCTGTAATCCAGTGCTAGGGAGGTGGAGACAGGAAAATCCCCAGAGCTTCTGAAAACCACAGGATGAATGGCTCCTGAGAAAGGATACCTGGACCCTCACATTCATGCATGCACATGAGAACACACACACACAGACACACTCACAGACAAGCATATACACACACTTGTGTACACACACATACCCACCCTATACATGCCTCTTCCCCACATACTTCCCCCACAAACTCTCTCTCCCTCTCTCTCTCTCTCTTTCTCTCTCTCTCTCTCTCTCTCTCTCTCTCTCTCACACACACACACACACACACATATACACACACATGTGAACATATACACATTTGAATTCACAAACACACATACCCACCCCAACATACTTGCACATGCATGCATGTGCGCGTGTGCACACACACATGCACAGACGCGCGCGCGCGTGCACGGGCACACGTGTGAATATATACACATTTGAGCACACACATACCCACCCCTACATACCGCCCATACACATTCTCTCTCACACATGCACATGAGTGCACTCTCTCTGTATATGTGTGTGTCTGTATGTGTGTGTATGTACTCACACACACATATAGACAGAAAATAAGTGTAAGCTAAGGAGGTGTTTTAGGTAGTAATAGCTTATAGGCTGCAGCCACGGGACTGTCATAAGTCTGCCCACTTTCTGGATTGTCAGAAAAGCCTAGCTTGCTTGCTGTCTGTCCCTCTTCTAAATAGTCTCTCTCCTTAACAATTTGGGAACGTTTATCAACATTTTCTGGTTTCCTTATTGTTTTTGGTTTTGGGGGTTTTTGTTCTTTTTTATTTTTATTTAAAGCCTTCTTCCCCACCCCGAGGATCACGCCGCCCCAAGGATCACACCACCCCCCGGATCTCTAATGGTGTGGCCTTTTCCTTTTTCTCCTCCATTCTCCTCTGGGTAGCAGCTGAAATTTTACAGTTCACTCGCCCTGGGGTTTTTCTCTAAACTCTGATCAAACTGTTCTTGTGTAGCCAAAACAGAATCATAAAAGATTAACCATTAGGTCAATGGGTGAAGGTCTGAAGCTACCATCCTCTAAAGTGAATGGAAGATTCACAGCATCCTTTCTTTATAGCTCTGGACACATCCACTAAGGTCAGCACTTGGCGCAGGCTCAGGCTTCTTTCCTACCCATGAAGCTGCATCAATATCCTACAACTGCAATCAAAGGACGTGACAACATCAATAAAGTCAGCTTCTCCTGCTACCAACACTCACGGTTAGCGGCTCCCGTGCCATCAGCTTCTCCTACTACAAACACTCATGGTTTGCAGCTCCCCTGCCATCAGCTTCTCCTGCTACCAACACTCATGGTTAGCAGCTCCCCT